ATCGCCGGTCCATATCCACCTGCGTCACATGTGGCAGGGTTCTGCTCTTAGTTCAGGTCCCTCAGGAAGACCAGGATAGCCTTTCTGCCTCCTCATAGTGTGGGAATAGTCTCAGAAACCCGAAGGAACATGTAACATACTCCCCATACACTTCACTGTCATCCAACCACAAACATGAATGAGTTGATCATCAAGGAAAGTGTTGAAGTGAGGTTCCTGAACCCTCACCCTACCCCATGTGAACTGAACTCACACCAAGCATTCAAAACTTGCATTTTAACAGGCCCGAGAGATCTGCATGCTCCAAACCACATGGATTATGCATGACTCCCGGCTTCCCTGCCTCCATGGCCCTGGCCTACACTGCTCTCTCCACCTGGCCGAGCCCCCAGCTTCCACCACCAGACGTCGGCAGCCAAAATTAAACAAGCAAAAGAGTCTCTCATGCCTCTCTGGCATAGAGCAGGTGCTGGCTCAAGGGAGTTCCATGTTGCCCAGAACAGAAGGCAACCCAGCCTCCCCCAGCCAGCAAGGGACTGCACAACACCTTCCCCCAGCCTGCAGCTCCAGCCCTTCCTGATCAGAAGACTCACTAATGAAGACTGCCTGTCAAGCAAGACCTACTGTGTGCCAGAGGCTTAGACCTCGTCTCCAGAGGCGCTTGTCTGAGCCCTGGGGCCTGCTGCTCTCCCTGGGTGAACAGTGCACAGATGTGTGCACTGTCTGAATGAGAACAACATCAACCATCCTCAGAGAGATGAAAGCAATGTGAGTTTGATGAGTGTTTTCTGAGAACCTACGGAGTTTGGCAGGCAGTGGGAGACAGACAGCAAATAAGCAAGCCTGTGAAATCCCTCCCAGGTGGTGAAAAGGGCAGAGAGGACAGGCAAATGGGCCCCACATCTGTGTCTCCAAGTACCCACGAAGACTGTAGTGGGAAAGAGAAAACAGTCAAGAGGGAAACTGAGTCAAGTCTGAGTCTTGGAGCTGGCTTAGAACAGACAGACCAGCAACCCTTGGGAGTCACTTCCCACATCCCCTAGAGAGAGGGGGTGACAGGGAGGATGTGCCTTACCCTCTCCCAGCTCACGACATAACCCTGGGGGGTAGAACGTAACTCCCAGACCCTTCTCCACTTCCTGAACTGGTTCCTGTGCAGTTCAGGGGATGAGAAGTACAGGCTGGAAAGGGCAGGATGTACACACACACACACACACACACACACCACCAAGTACCCACTAACACAATGCTGGAGACATCATAGAAGGCCAGAATCAGAGAACAGCCTTCAGGAATGACACAGGCCTGGGGTGGAGATAGAGAAAGAAATGTTGAAAGAGTTGAGACCTGGGGGCTGGCCCCACTGTCCCTACAACCATCACACAAGGTCCCTCCACCTACTGCTTCCCATACGGCCAGATCCCAGTGCCCATTTACAACTGAGTGCCACAAGGCCCAGAGAGGGCGCTAGTAACAGGCCAAGATGAAAGGACCCAGGCCCACTTGGCAAAGGTGTTTAGCAATGAATAGAACCTGGTTTCAGAGTCTACCTGTAAAGTTCCAGTCTGGATTCCACTGCTTTGTGGCCCTGAGCTGGTCTGCAATCTCCCTGTGTTCTGTCTGTGAAATGAGGAATAACAGTTGCTCTTACTACACAAGGATTCTGTGGGATGAAACAAGAGCCATAGATTATATCTACGAGTTATAGATTGTATCTCAAACCAGGGCCTAGGCAGGGGCTGGAGAGACCTTCACTGATAGACTTCTCTGAATTACCACTGTGTTGGTCAATGCTCTCTGAAGCCAACCCCTTCCTCTGGCCTGCCTAGGTGGCTCTCCAGTCCTCAGGGCCCCTCGAGGGCTTCCCCAGGAACTTTGTGCAAGGCTGGGCTGAAGGAAAGGGAGCTCTGTTATCCCAAGCCCAGACATGATGCCCAGGAACGGTGTCAGAGCCTCTGCCCTGGGTGTTCATTGAGCCAGGAGGAGGTTAATTTGATCAGGGATCAGCTGGGACAGCTGGAGGCAGACAACTGTGTTAGCCTTCTTAACTGTTCTCACCCAAGCAGCCTGATGGGTACGGAGTGTCAAACTTAGAAGCAGTGGACTTGGCTAGCACAGCGCAGGGGGAAGGGAGAGGTTTGGGGCAAGGGAAGGACCTGGACTCTAGAATCTTAGCAGAGGCAAGTGATGTGCAGGGCCCGACCTCACTTGTCAAATCCTAAGGTTAAGCAGTCAGTCCTTTCTACTTACAGAATGCCACACAACCAGGCAGAGGTGGTCCTAGCACTCCAATCTGCTTCTAGAACAGTACTGGGGTGACAAAGAGGCCATGTGGAGAAGAAAGCATAGGGTATCAAAGACCCTAGGCCCTCCCCACCAGAGAAGGATCAGCAGCTGGGTGTGCCTGTCTTTTTGCAAATCTGTGAAAGCCACAGGCAACCTCCACTATAGCCAGTAACCTTTCAACCCAGCTGCCACCCTGACTCACCTCACCCCCTGTGGCACAAAAGGTCCCCTTCCCTGCTGATCTGATGTGTCCCTGCAGCCACCCTGCAGAGGAAAGAATTCATTGACCTCAGTTTGCCTAAGCACAGCCCTGTGAGCAGCAGCCAGTAGTCCACCCATCTATGGGAAGGGAGCGAGGACCCCGGGAAAGAAAAGAATAAAATTCTTTGCAAAGTTCAAGCAGGAGTTGCCGGGGGTGGGTGGTGTCGGGGGAGAAGGGGGACTAGTCTAGGAAATGGAAGATAGAGTTGGCATGGTTGAGCTCCACCCCACTGCCAGGCACCAAAGGGCCCACTGTAGTTCCTGTGACCCTATCCTTCACCTCCAACCTCCTCCACAAGTGACAGGTGAAAGACCTGACAGGGAAGTGGGGAGAGACTGCCCAAATCCCAAAAGTCAAAAACTGGCCAACTGAGATTAGAACCCAAGGCCCCAGGCACCTTCAACATATGCCCATGCACCTACATGGACAAATGCAAACATGGGTGCCCACAGTGCCTGAGCTTCTGGGACAAGGCCAACACAGACCTGAGAGGCTCAGAGGCTAGCAAGTGGCATGGAGATCCTCCTGCCTCTGCCTCCTGAGAGCTGGGAGGGGTCTTAAGAAAAGGAAGATCACCGGGAAATGGGGGCTCCTTGAGAGAGACTGCTTCCTCTGAGGCTCCATCCCCTTCCTTTCTTCTTCCCCCTCCCAGGGGACAGGACTACACTCAGTCCCACATACACAGTGATATCAAATGCCCAGGCCCATGAGGGTAGCCCTCACACTGCTGTCCCAGTGACGTCACCCAGCCAGAAGCTGATGTCACAGCCCAAGGTTCTCACTGACATCACACACACTTCTTTCTCCCCAGTGTCTTCCTACTCTTCTTTTCCTGCTGAAGGGATATTGGTCCAGAGGTCCCCCTATTCACCATGTATAACAGTAGTGCCCATAGGTAGCTGAGACCGTGTGTTCCCCCAGTGTGCTTTCACCCACATACCAGACAACATGTACAGGCATGTGCAAGCTCACATGCCCTGCTGTGGATCTAGACATGACATGTCCCACAGGTGTCCACAGGCTACAGAAACAGCATGAGCCAAAGCAACACATACACATGCAAACATGCCCAGCCCCCACGGTGCAGCTCCTGGTGTTGAGATGCCCCTCCTCCCTCACTGAAGCCAACAGCCAGGGCTGCAGCTTCCACCACATTCCTCCAGGTACCGCCAGCAGCTGCCCCTTCCCCCCAGCTTCTCCTCCCACAGCCTGGCCTGCTGACAGTGACATCCGCAGCCGGACACAAGAGCACGCATGCACACAAACATGCATGAGCACTCAAACACCCAAACACACACACACAATCAGTTCAACACCTGTATCTCTCAACAACTCAACAAGGGATCAGTGCCTCTGCAGCAACTGCAAGGCAGGAAGAGTCCAGAGCCCTGGAAAGTGCCCTTAGTACCACATATCTCCAAAACTGACTGAGATTCCCAGCAATGTTCCCGGCTCATTCTCCTTGGTCATGCCTGACACACCGAGGCCTGGCAGCCTACATCCTCCATACAGTCTCCCCAAGTGCGCAGATTCACACACAGGGAGACATGCAGACACACACACATCCCAGTTCTCCAAACATTCTGAGGAGGCCCTGCTGGGCCACAGACTGTGTGTGTGTGTGTGTGTGTGTGTGTGTGTGGTGGGGGGGTCTATCCTGAGTCAATACACACCCCTTCCCACGTGCATATACCACCCCACCAGCCAACACACCCACCCTCTGCCCCCTCCTAGCCAGTTGCAGTCTGAACATACACACACACAAACACGCGAACACACACACACACATCATCCGGCAGTGGCGGGGCCCAGTCAGAGCTGCAGTATGTCGGTTTATGCTGGTGCCTCCAGGCTTGTCCCACACCAGCCCTTCTGAGGAAAAAATCCAGCCCCCTGCAAGGGTCCCCCCATGTACCTAACTCTGGTCCACCTACTAAATTCATAGTGCTCCCAAGGAGAAGGGGGACAAGCCGCACCCAGGCCCCCTCACCCTGAGCCAGCCACCTAGCCGCCCCGTCAACCCCCCCTTACCAGTGAGAAAATGAATTCCTTGACCCGCCAGGACTCAGTGAAAGGGAGATCAGAGCCTCTGATTTGCCAAAATGGGGGCCAGAGAGGTGCGGTGTGGCACTGGCCAGCAAAACCATCTTCCATCAAGCTTCTGCACCACCACTCCGAAAATGCTCACCTCGACGCTGGTCCTCCCTGCCCTCTCACCACGCCTCCGCCCAGCCTCACCCCCACCACCTCATGCAGGGTGGTCCCCTGGGGGTCTCACAGGGATCCCCAGACCAGGAGGAACCCGGAGTGACTCTCCCTGGCTCATCCTCCCCTCCCGAGTCCCTTTTCAAGCCCCACCCCCGCTGGCGGCCAGGGCGCTCTCAGCTCAGCCCGAATTCCCGGGGTCTCCGCCAGCCTTGGGCAGCTCTCGGATCTAGAGGAATTCACTTACCTCCAGTCCCGGCTGGGATCCGAGCAGGATGCCACCGCCTCCGGGCAGCGGCTGCTGCGGGGCCTGCGCCGGAGAGCGAGCGTGAGCGCGGGTGCGAGTGTGCGCAGCGGCCGGCCGTGGCTCTGTGCGTGTCGTGTGTCTGTGGCGTGGCCCGGGCGTGTGTGTCTGTGAACGTGCGTGTGCGCGCAGACACTGCCACCCCCGCCTCCCGCCGCGCAGGGCTGCCGCCCGCAGAGGGCCCGGGCACGGGGCGGGGTGCCTCAGGGGCTGGAGATCACTGTGTCTGTCTGTCGGTCCGGCCCTTCAGCCGGCTCCCCGGCTCCCTTCACAGGCCTTTCTGCTGCAGACCCTCCAGCCCCTCCGCCGGCTGCTTCCACGACCACAAGCGCGCTCCCAGACACACGCCACCGGGCGGGGGCCGTGCTGGGCTCCGGCGCTGCTGCAGCTGTGGCGCCCTGTGAGGCGGAGGCACCGCGGACCGCCAAGCCCCGGGCACCCGCCGAGCGCGCCCCCCGGCCCCGCCCCGCCTCGGCACCTCGCACCCGGCTGTGTCTCGGTCCACCCCACCACCGCCTCCGCCAGCTCATTCAACAGCTGGAGGCAAAGTTGCCCCGGGTGCAGCGCCCATTAGAGGACAATCCCATCCTTGACCCTCCTCCCCCAGGTGCACCCCTTTCTGCCTGCGCCCTGATCTGGGGTCTCGTGCGTAACTGCTGGCGAGCCCTGTGGTGGGGCTTCTGCGTTCCCATTTTGCAGGCCGGACAGCAGAGTGCTTGCCCCAAGGTAACCCAGCGAGTTCGCAAAGTCTCCAATTCAATTCTCTCTGCCTCCAACCAGGGCACTGACTCTCTCTCTCTCTCTCTCTCTCTCTCTCTCTCTCTCTCTCTCTCTCTCTCTCTCTGTGTGTGTGTGTGTGTGTGTGTGTGTGTGTGTGTGTGTGCCCTAACCCATATTCCCTGGAGGATACTGAACTCTGCGGCTACCCTAAGAAACTTCCTAAAGCCTTCCTGGCCCCATTTCAAGCTGTGCTTCCTACGCACACACACACACACACACACCACCTGCAAAGGGTCTCCCTGCACGGCTGAGGGGGATGGGGCTCTGCGCCCAGAACTGGGTACATGAGTAGCTGATGGGGAGTCTGGGCTGGTGTCAGGAGCCTCCTCCAGCCGCTGTGACCGGCAAACCCAGACAGTTGAGTTCTACCGCCGCCGCCAGGCTTTGTGCTTCGCAATCACTTTTCCGGCGGCATTTCCCAGTGCCTGTCCTCAGGTGGTGCACAACGGCTCATCTTGGCGGCTGGAACTCCTAACAAGGGCATCTCATGCAGGCCTGGGCTGAGTCTGAGTGGATGAATGGAGATTGATGGATAGGAGTTGCTCAGCTGAAGAAATGGAGAAGGGTATCCCAGGCTGTGGGAACAACACGTGCAAACGTCGCAGAGGCGGAAAGCATCCTGGAGTATTAAGTACGCAGGGACCCACGGAGTTGGGTATTACTAGAGCAGAAAAAATTGCTTCTCAGAAACACGTCCCTCTTGCCATCTGAGGACAGGAAAGCGGCTCAGGATAGGATAGGACCAGAAAGGTAGGCAAGCGCTGAGATACAGGGCACCTGTTTATTGTGGTACAGAGAAACTGTTGGATGTCTCACCTCTGGGTCTCCAAATCTGTATCTTTGGTTGACAGGCACACTCCTACCCACCTATCCTCAGGTCCCTCCTTGCATACCAAGGAAGCCATTATGCTGCCTCCACCCTCTAACCAAATCCCTTCCCCGAAGAGGGAGCTGAAGAGCTCAGTCAGGGTCCCCCACCACCGGGGAACTGGGCGCCAAGCTGGGTCCAGCTCCAGTAGAGCGGTCCCCGACACCAGCCCGGCTTCTGACAGAGACAGCTGCCCCTGCGCCCTCTGGCGGATCTCACGCGCAACTGCCGAGAACACGTGTGCTCTGGGGTGGGCACTGGGAGAGGCCTACTAAATCCGCTCTGGCCCAAGAGACTGAGCAATGCACCAGGGAGCACCAGGCATCGAACGGCAAAGTAACATTTCTGGTTCCATCTGTTTGAATTTCCCAGAGTGAGAGCTACCCCTCCCCTGCCGCCTCGCCACCCCTCCCCCGCCGCCTCAGTTTCCTCCTGTAGGAAACAGATAAGTCCTGGCCAGTCCTGAAGGCAATGGGTCCTTAACTTGGACACTCCCTTCTTTCCTGGGGCTGCAGAGCCAGCTAGACTCACTCAGCGGTAGTTTTGAGCTTTTATTATTCCCATGTTCCCCTTGAAGACCGGCCGCTGCAGAGCAGAGAAACTGTGGCCGGTTTCCCTCGCTGAGCTCAGGTGCTGCTCCACACAGCAGATGATGGTGTTGGCCTGGACTGGGGGGGGGGGGGTCACTGCAGACCACACCAGCTGGCCCCTTGACTGGGCTTTCTCTACACCAGCACTGTTCCACTCTACCTTTCTGCCATCGTGGGAATGATTTAAGGAGCCACTAACCTCATGTGGCTATTGTGTGGTTAAAACCAGGTCTTCTACAAGTGCAGACTTATCTGTTTTATTTTGATTGATCTAGGCTTAAACGGCCACGTGTGGCTTGTGGCTACCATGTTAGTGAAGATCTGGGTACACAGCAACCTCCTAGCTCAGTGCGTGTGTGCACACCAGGATCCTGAATACTGGGACATGGGGATGGGGTGAGGCAAAGGTGGACCTCAGCATGTCCCGGGTCTAGGCCAGGCCTTTCCATTCTACACCTGGTCTCCTGTAACGGCCCCTTCTCCTATCTGTTTACACCCTCCAGAGGTGGCCCGGAGCCCAGGCAGGTGTGGGACTGACTTCTCACAGCAAGGTCAGGGGGTGGCATCAGCTGCCTAGGTGCTCCATAAGATCCATTAGCAATTTCTTTAGTGGTTGTTGGGGGCAGGCCCAGCCCATTGTGGGCGGGGGCCACCCCTGGGCTGGTGATCAGGGTTCTGGAAAGCAGGCTGAACAAACCATATGGAGCAAGTCAGTAAGCCCCTCCATGGCCTCTGCTTCAGTTCCTGCCTCTAGCGTCCTGCCCTCACTGCTACTGCTGCTGCTGGATTGTTTTGTTGAAATGTGATCAAAATAATAAACGCTTCCCTCCCCAACTTTCTTTTGGTCATGGTGTTTCATCCCAGCAATAGAAGCCCTAACTAAGATATCCTCATTGGTCCTTCGCAGTTGGCCCTGGCAACCCTTCAGCATCTCTCCCAACACCCGCACATGCTCTAGAAGCCAGCAGCACAAGGTCAGCCCTTCCCAGAACATGCCAGGAATCTCTCATTCCAGACTTCTTCTTTGCCTGAGAGAACTTCCCTCCCCCTAGAAGCCTTCCTCCCTGCCTCCTGCCAGACTGTCAAGGCCCACCTCCCCCAGGAACCCTGATAACCTCTACTGAGCTGACTCTGCTACTTCCCCCTTCTTCAGGTCCCAGAACGTTCCGGAGGCCATAGTGACAGCACACAGCACACCATGCTGTCATTCGCTCCTGTCGTGCCCGCTGGAGAGGCCTTCCCTGTTATGATCATCGTCCGTGGCCCTTCCCCAATTCACTTCTCTCCAGGAGCCCAACACTCTTTTTTATGTCACTGTGTTTAACAGGCTATAAAAATGGCCATTAAGGGCTCGTCTTTTAGGCATCCAGCCTCTCTCCCGCTTCCCAAAACACCCTCATTCCTTCCCTCCTCACAGCCATGGGCAGTCTTAATGGGATATGAATAAAGGCGCCCCTCCCCCAAGCTAATAGCTCACAGGTGGAGTGATATGTGGGCAGAAGGAACAGCTGTATGAGAATCATCCCAAAATCCCAATGTCCGAGATAACACGGTAGACACTTCCAGCTGCCTGGATCCCCGTCTTACATCCCAGACCTCCACCCACCTTGGGGTCTTCTCAAGACGCTGAGGAGTGGTCCCCACAGCCCACCAGCAAAGTGCCCTCCATTCCTGAGCTGACTGAATGTGGCTCACATTCTAATGACCCCACTAGCTTAGCCATATCATGAGGCCATTTCCCCCCAGAAGGTCTTCTTTTGGGGGCCTGGGAAACAGTGAGAAGGGAATCACGGGAATGCCAATGGCCAGGTGCACTTAGTTGCATCACAAGACACACCCTTTAGACATACATGACTTTTCTGTCACTGGTCTTCATGCCATTTTGGGTTGAGAAATTAGGTTAGGCGATTCTCAAATCACAGATATGTGTACACAGAGCAGAAGGTGTCACAGTCCTGCCGGGCCTCTGTTCCGGTGCTGGGGCAGAACGCTTCGCTCACTGGAGACGGACCCACCATGAAGGGTGGAGTCTAGGGAGCACGTGTGAGCGTAGGAGACTACCCTGCCCTGTGCCCAACATGGGTGCCCTCCCGCAAGAGTCACAGAGCAGAAGGAGGTGAGTCCAGGGGACAGGAAAGCCTTCTCAGCAAGGGGCCTTCAGATCAGAGCTGTCTTGTTTTCCTGGATACTGTAGCTGGTCCAGGAAGCAAGATTGAAGACCAGGATCAGGTATCAAATGCTTCTGGGTCCTAAGAAGGGTGAGAGACCTTGAGGGTGGGCTGGGGAGAGTCACTAGGAGGAAGAGAATAAAGATGGGAGCCCCCCAGGAAGTTAAGGCCCTCTCCATTCCCACCCTCTCCTACCCGCTCCCCACCTTCTCTGCCCTACTTCCTTCAGGAAAGCCTGCATGTTTGCCATATCCATCATCTGGTGTTGTGTAATGAATCACCTCCCAACTCCATAGCCGAATCAGCGAAAAACAAAAATCAAGCTTGCCACTCAGGTGTTGGGGTCCAGAGGAGGAGGGAGGAGTGTTCTCACAAGGCCATCCCTGCCCTCTGAGGCCAAGACTGGGGACGTATTTCATGATGCTGACTGTAGATGGCAAGTAAGTGTAGGCTGAGGGGTGGGGGGCTCAGCCCCTTGTCCCTATAAGACCACCTGTGTACCCTCCAGGCACAGTGACTGCTTCTCCTACAGCCAGACAACGGCAGAAGCCAGGATGGCTCTTGTAACCTATCCCTAGATGACACCACAGTTAGAGCCACACTGGCCTTATACAGAGTGTGGGTTCTAAAAAGGCCCCATCAGGCTGCCCCAAGGCCAGTGGGTCTGAAGGCTGACACCAGGGGGAACCCAAGGAAGTTCTAAGTTCTGTGCCAAGAGAGCAAGACGATAGCAAGAAGATACAGATGCTGAACCAGTCATCATCTGATCTCCATCACAGAAGAGGTGAATTCTGGGAATCTGTGCTCTCTGGTTCAAGAGCAGCCTTGGGGCTGACCAGACAGGAGGAATGATCATTGAACTAGCAAGAGTGAAGGAGGTCAGGGACATGGCCCCAAGGGACGGTACTAAGGACAGAGGCCAGCACCACATTCTGGTGTCTCCTGGAGCGAGCCATCTGACCCAAAGAGACTGTTGCAGAGGGAACCCCAATAGGGGTGTAGGTGGCCCCCTGCTTGCCTGGATTGAGGCTGAAGTTACTAGATATCAAGGCTGCCAAGCTGCTTCCC